GAATTTCACACAGTAGATAACTATTATGTTTTCCTTCATAAATTCACTATTCTATATACATATACAAAATTAACTACTTACAAATATCTATCCATAAGTAGTATATTGAAATTATACTCGTAGATCTTGCATACGAGAATAAGATGTTGATTTCATCAATCCATCTATTCGTTAATTCGTTCGTCGCCCCAAAATACATTGGTGCATCCGAAGAGGAGGAGAGTTAGCTCTCCTCGAAATGCTCTCATAGGGCCATGCATACACAGCCACTGCCATGGAAGTCTAACTCACTGCATTCTCATGGCGAAGGTGTTGTTTACGAAATTGAGAAAACGGAAAACGAATATCCGGCACTTTCATTGCGTCGGACGTCATGGAGGGTCTACTTAGGGGAGTTAGAAAACCCTCATTCCATACTTATCATGTACATTTGCCACATGATGCTGAGGGAACTAATCGCATATGAACCAATTATCGTTCACCAGCTACCATGACACTGTATCTCCCTGCGTTGCTTCACTACCTTGTGGATCAGACTTTTAGATCGAAGGCTCTTGGTGTGGCCCCCTAAGAAAACCACCTACTTCGGTTTGGGAATCCGGGCAGTATCATAGCCCAAACACATACCAAGTGACTTGTGTGATGCATATGTATTCGATACCCCCTTTTTGTACCAATATTTATGTGTTCAAATAAATAAATAATTCGTTCGTTACACCTAAAATGTTAATATTCATGACAGTGATTATTAGTGATTTGTGCATCTACCAGTTCCACTTCCCATGTGGATTAACATATATAGACCGTAGCCAGTGTTTACTTTCAAATCGAATACTAGAACATATTCCAAAATGGTTTCACAAAAGATGAGAGGAAAGCATTTCAAATCTTCATTCTTAAATATTTTAACCATTCCAATCACTTCACTAATTTATAAATCGACTTAAATGTTTAATTATAGAAATCGTTCAAATCCATCAGGATCACTTCGTAACTAACATCTTGAAACGTGAGAAATCTCTTATTATTCATTAAACGAACGATGATTAGCATAGATACAAAAGAAATACATCCCATTTTTATCCTTACCATGGCGTAAAATTGTTGTTATTATTACTATATATTATTTCTTTTATGAAGATCACTCTTTATCTCTAGAATTATCTTTTATATCTTTCTGACTGGAAGTACTGGGCGATCGTTTCGTCCTAGTATGAGACACTTCATCAATGCGTATTCATGATCCCGTTCGCGAGATTCCAACTCAGGGTATATTGGTCTCGTGTATGCAAACAGTTAACCTGCATGCTACTGAGTTGACATCCAATAGTGTCATTGCTCAACTTCAACCAATTTCATTTCTACAATGTTGAGTAGTGGCGGAATTCTGCACATGAGATCACTAGGTTCCAATAAAGTCGTATTCAGTTACATATATCATGAATATCAAGAAGATAAGTAGTGTAGTGAACAAGAACACTATTGAGGACAATCAACTATATTTTAATATAACATTACAGAACATCTAAAGGCGAGACAATAGTTTATGGACGACCTTTGAGTGACGTTGAAGGGACATTGAGAGTCTCTACCTACTTACTCGAACCGAATGAGAGTTATAAACCTGTGTGTAAGGAATTAGGATTATAATTTACAAGTGATGATTAAGGTTAGAAATTAGATTTAGGGTTGTTTTTTCATCATGAACTGACATCAACTTAAATGCTGAAACTCTATTTAGCCAAATGGATGAATGAATTTCGCACCGAAATCCTAGAGACCTGTTATCTTACATCTGATTGATTCGTCCAATTTTCGGTAAAATCTGGGAATTATACAGTAAATTCTCCATTTGCAAAATATCCATCAATCGTTTTAAACTTGGTTGTTCTTTTGTTTACAGACTAATGATTCACTGTTCTTATTCTCTTGTCTTTAATCGGCGAGACTATAATTTATGGACGAATTATTCAGCTTTAAGATAACAAGTCTCGGATTTTGGCGTGAGATTCATGCACCTCGTTGGTTAAAGCGTGCATGGAGGACAACTGACAGATACATTCCAAGTAAGGACCGGAGAAAGACAAGGCTGTTTACTCGCCCCTTTCCTCTTTCTTCTAGTGGTCGACTGGATTATGAAGACCTCAACATCTGAGGGAAAAGAAAAGATACAATAGACAGCTGAGAACCAATTAGACGATTTGGACTTCGCAGATGACTTAGCCCTCGTATTCCATACACACGAACAGATGCGCATGAAGACAACTCGTGTAGCAGCAGTCTCTGCATCAGTAGGCCTCAACATACACAAAGTGAAAACCAAGGTCCTCAAATTCAATACGGAGAACAACAACGGTAACACACTTGATGACGAAACTCCGGAAGATGTAAAATCCTTCACATACCTGGGAAGCATCATCGATGAACAAGGAGGATCAAACGCAGACGTAAAGGCAAGGATTGTCGAAGTAAAGGTCGCATTCCTACGATTGAAGAACATATGGAACCTAAAAAAACTGTCTGTCAACCAACATCAAAGTCACAAACTTCAATACGAACGCCAAGGCAGTTCTACTGTGTGAAGCTGAAACTACTACAACCATCATCAAGAAAGTACAAGTATTTATAAATAGTTGTCTGAGCAAGATAATCAACATCCATTGGTCGGATACCAATCAGCAACAGCCTTCTGTGGGAGAGAACAAACCAGTTTTTCCAACTTAAGAGGAAATTATGAAAAGACGATGGAAATGGACAGGACATACATTACGCAAATCATCAAACTACATCACGAAGCAAGCGCTCACGTGGAATCCTGAAGGGAAGCGGAAAAGAGAAAGGACGAAGGACACACCACGTCGGGAATCGGAAGCAGACATGAAAAGGATAAATAGTGACTGGAAAGAGCCGGAAAGGATTGCTCAGGACAGGGTTGGATAAAGAGTGCTTGTAGGTGGCCTATGCTCCTCCACGAGGAGTAACAGGTCTAAGTAAGTAAGTAATTTGGTTAAAGAGCATTTTGGTATTTTTGACGATGAGATGAAAACCCTCTAAACCTAATTACTAACCTTAATCATCAATTCTAATTCCTCACACACTGATTTATAACCTTCATTTGGTCCTTGTTAATAAGTGGACACTTTCAAGACCAGTCTAATGTCGCTCAAACATTGTTCATAAATTATAATCTCACTTATTCATTTTCTTAATCCTTTACTCTGACAGAAATTACATTTTCGATTAACAATACATACTACTTATATCTATGAACATTAGTAGTACATACTACAAGATAATTTATATATTTATATTTATATTGTGGATCTATAGAATGGTTATAGTCGATTAGATGTTCAAGTATCAAACCTCTAACTGCTTTTCTTTCACCTTTATAGAACCAAGCTGGGATATGTTCCCAGTCGCTTTCAACTCAGATACGGGAATATATCTCAACTTGATTCTATAAAGGTGAAAGGAAAGCAGTTAGGTGTTATATTTATACATTTATATAAATGATAAACAATCTTGTTATCTCAATTTTATTTTGTATACAATCAAATGTATATATGTATATGTATATATTCATACCATAAGAATAGAATGGATATTTTTGTTACCATGCTTGATTATATAATCAATTATTTACAATAATAATAAGAATATGAGTAAAATTTAATGAGTTATGTAAGACAAACAAACAAAATATACATTTTAAGGTTTCATTTATAATAATAGCGAGAGTAAGAGTGAGTGAGCGAGGGAGTGAGTGGGTAAGTGGGTGGGTGGATGAAGGTCAGTGAGTAACAATGAGTGAGTGAGTGAGTGAGTGAGAGGGGGGGAATGGTATATTTTGAAAAGGTTTACCCTGTTTTCTTAAAATTTTTTTTAAAAAAAAATGAGAGAAAAGAAATGCACAATTATCAAATCTTAAAAATACTGATTGAATAGTCATTTATTGTTTCTATATTGATGTTACACAAAACCCCTTCTGATAATAAACAAGTTAACCAATATATATAAAGAAACTGAAACAATCCAATGTTTATTTATTATGTCATCATCAGAAAGAAGGGGTTTGTGTGTGCGTGTGTGTGTGTGGATATGATCATCATTTCAATAGGTAATATGATGAATCTATTGAAACTTGAATGTATTTTGAATAGTTAGTTTGCCCTATTGTTAGAAATCTTGTCAATGTACTTTATTTAGAATAAAATCTCCCATTTAATCATCATATGAAACTTTTCTATAATGAATGATCTTATATTCAATGGATCATTGATGATTGATGAATAGAGAATAAGATTAAAAGAAAAGATGTTACGTCATCGTGTTTTTGTTGTTGGTGTTTTTCTTTTTTTTTTTTGTAAGTGTCATCATGATGTTGAATTAGAGGAAGAAATTGAAAAGAAAAAAAAAAGAAAAATCTTACCAAAAATACATTTATCTCCTTAGCAACTAAACAAATAAATGAACTAGGCATGAATATCACTAAAAGTCATCCAAGAAATGATTAAAGGAAATAAACGGTTACTATGGCATATGTATTATTATTCACTCTTAATTTATTGATTCATTCTATTCAATGGATTTATATAAATGTCTATATGAAATGTGTATTACATAATTAAAATATACTTTTTATATGAATAGATTCAATGAAATATGTAAATATTCAAGAAAAAAAAGAAAAAAAGAGATGAGTAAATTACATGTATCGTGAAGTTTTGAATGAACCGCCTGAAAATTCTTTAAAATTTATTAAAACAAATATGAGAAAGATATGGAACATTATTTAGAACAATATATATATATATGTATATATATGTATATGAACTCCACCTGGAGGACCTCTGGAACTACTGCCGGTCCTAAGCTCGGATAAAAAAGAAGGGGTGGGTTGAGTATGAAGTGAGTGACTCTATCTCATATAGAATACTAACACGCTGTAGAATACGCTAATTCGAAAAATAGATGAATATGAATAATCTATACTGATGATGATGATAATGATGATGATGATGCTAAAGAGAAATGGTTAGTTATAGAATTCTTTGTTTGTTTGCTTGTTTGTTTACAGATGATTCATTGTTTGATGTGTTATTGTTGATTATTTATATAATGATTGTTCTTCTTTTCTTTTTTTATTCAATTGGATCATCAGCTAATAGCATAGCTTTAAGTTGACTATCTTCCATACATCCTTTCATAAATTCTTCACGTGTTAATACACCATCACCATTTTCATCCATTTTTTCAAATATTTCTTCAGCTCTAGCTTCTGGACTAATATCCACAGCTGTATTATCTGTACCAAGCATTGAATAAATAGCCTAAAATAAAGTAAATCAATAGTATATATGATAGAATGTCAAAATAGAAATAGAAGTACTTTATAATGATTTTGTTCATGAATCACTTATATAATAATTATTATATCAAACCTCAACGAGGTTATGAAAAAGATGAATAACAACTGGAAGGAGCTGGAAAGAATTGCCCAGGATAGGGTTGGATGGAGAATGCTGGGGAGCGGCCTATACTCCTTCACGAGGAGTAACAGGCGTAAGGAATTAAGTCAACGAAGTTTGATATCACAAAGCAATAAGAAGCGGTAACTACAGTTTTATTAGAGGATAACACAGCTCATAAAGCGACGAACACATTGAGGGGATTTAATATAGACAGGTGAATATGTGTATGTACGAACAAATACATAAGCAAACATATCGTCATATCACATAAGGGCACCAGTAAGGCAAAGCAAGGACAAATAATAATGGGATTCGCGTACCTATATACTTAGAGAAGAGAATGAATCAATGAGCGATATTTCAGGGATCAACAACTGAGCTAGAGTCTATCATATGATCTAGTGATTATAACAATACAAAGAAATATGTGTATTGTCTGTTAAGTAAGTTAATATAAAGGGTTTAACTGAAATGAACCATCATCGAAATAGATTGCAGAAGAGTTGTTATCAATTAGATGATATGACTAATCCTAAAATTAACCATACCATTCTATAGTGTATATTCCCTTGTAGTGATATACACAATACTGGAGATTTCTAGCTTAGTTAAATAGCGATGGAATTGTCTAGTTCCCTAATTTGAATGTTTTAATCATGGAGCTTTCATTTTCATTATTCTCTGGTAAGTGACATCGTCAGGAATGAAGGTTTCTTTTATAAATTGCGCTTTATATTACTTTTGGAATAAGTAAGAAACTTATTTCGATACAGAATAGGAGCTAATTTCTTTTCCTAATTAGGAAGAAGCGCTGGAAGTGGATAGAACGCACATTGAGGAAAGCACCCAACTACGTCACAAGACAAGCCCTCACATGGAATCCTCAAGGCCAGAGGAAAAGAGGAAGGCTAAATAACACAGTACGTCGAGAAACGGAGACAGACATGAGAAGAATGAACAACAGTTGGATGGGATTAGAAAAGAAGGCCCAGTACAGAGTGGGTTGGAGAATGCTGGTCGGCGGCCTATGCTCCATCGGGAGTAACAGGCGCAAGTAAGTAAGTAATTTCTTTTCCTAGGATAGAAATGAAAGCTACATGATGAAACGATTTAGCTCAGAAATCTTAACGACCCATATACATATACTGTTGAGGAGTCTCATAATACGATGAAACGGCCGTTCAGTGCTTCTAGATTTTCCATGGTGGCTTAGCTTCAATTGACTCATGAATTCAACTAAAAAATTTACTAAAATCTTCACAAAACCCTCTTCTCATAATAATAATCATGTGCTTACTAGTGACTTGCTTCAAGAGGTATAACCTGGAGTTCTAGTGAGAAGCTATGATTATTAGAGTTCAACTAGATCTGTTATGAGAAGGTAACTCACGGAAGACAATAGTGGATGGTGGCTCAATTTCGTGGATTGGTTCAAGTTAGACATTAACACTGTGAGAGAAGACAAACAGACACTTAACTTACTCTGGGCTTTATTGTGTGCATGAACTGTTGGTGTTTGTATTAAATGAATCTATTGTTCGATCTATACTTTATCTCTCTTTACTTTTAATCAAAAATCATGTGACTAGTGTAACGTGACCCTTGTCTACGTACAACTAATTAATCAAGTATCCAGTTTAGTGACAGTAAAATCTCCGATATAAATCATATTTCCCTCGAGGTGGGACTGTAGATGCGCACTGCTGAAGAGTCCCGCAATAGGACGAGTCGAAAGTCCAGTGCTTCCAGGTTTTCAATGATAGTCTATCATTAAATAGCTCATGATTTCAATCAAAAAGCAAATCATATAATCGTATTATCTCAGTAAATGGAAGTATTTTCTTCGTTTGTAATTAAACTAACAACCATACGACAATACTAAGCTAAACTAAACCGTTAAGCTTATAACGTATGTGTAAATGCTTTATTCATGGTTCATTTATCGAAATATGGCAGGGAATAAGGAGTTAAGGTTAAAGGTATTCATCTGAATATGGTATCCGTTATGATGTAAGAATCTTGAAATATATACGTTGATCCTAATTTTTAAAACAATAAGTTCTAAATTTATCATCACCGTCTTGTAACTGGCTGAACAGATTTAGATCACAATGTTGTTCAGCGATACAATCCATCATTGTCTAGTGAAAACAAAATTTGACAGAAGTAATAAACACAACTAACTCCACCTTGAGCCGCTCTGAGGTTACCACCGGCCCCAACTACGGATAAAAGAGGAGGGTTGGGCACGGGGTTAGCGACCACATCCCGTAGGAAACTAACCCGCTAAAAAAACGCTAACCATAAAAATAAATAATTCAAACCATTGAAATTGTGCCCTGGGAATTGGAAGGTCTTCATTCAGAAGAGTTATGATGCCTCTTTGTGAAAGCTGAGTTCCTTCGGTATTCAGTAGTCTGATTCCCCTTCTGACAACCAGAGTAACCATTAATTTAGATACATTGAATGTTCGTACAATGTGCAAGACCAGAAGAGTCTTTCAAATTGCTGCAGAATAAACACAAGTATCCACAGACCTATTAGTTCTTTCAGAAAATAAAACAGAAATATCTTTTCTTAGATCAAACAATAACCATCATGTTAGCCATACCCTAGTACTGTTGATCAATACTTTGACCACCATGGTCTTTAAAAGAGATGAGTATGTGTTGATTTCCATACGAAAATCAATAAAATTGCTATCTCAATGCTAATTGATCTAAAGGGACAGTCTGATACGATTTTCTCTTGATGTCTTCTAATCAATGGGGAAAGGATCATTTTGTAAAACTAATCTAATAGAAGACAATGTAAGCAAGTTGGTTTTAGTTTCCGTAACAGCAACAATCATTGAAATGTATCCTAGGTATAGTGAATAACTTTAAGAAGGAAAATAATCTTAATATAAGTTTTCTATTTTTCAATGGTTAAGATCATGAGTCAGTTGAAGCTAGACTACCATGGAAAACCTGGAAGCACTGGATGGCTGTTTCGTCCTATTGTGGGACTCCTCAGCAGTGCGCATCCACAACATCGCCCCCCTGCGCGATTCGAACTCAGGACCTACTGATTTTGCGAGCGAGCACTTCTTTTGAACTAATTGTACTAATACTTTTAGATGTTGTATTACTTACATTTATTTCACTTTAACTAATCTACTTATTTCACTGATTGTGAATTACTCAAAAGTACACACACACAAACATATACGAACATCCATAATAGATTTACACTTAAATCAAAACTTTAATCATTCAGTCAAAAGATTTCAATCAACATTTTAAACAAATTTCTATGATTTATGTTTGAGGTAGTCAATTCCCCGTTGCCATTGGTTACCGACAATAGTCATTTATGCGAGAGAGAGAGAGAGGGTGAAGATAGAATAGAAACATGAATTCCATAATCGTTTAACTCTATGCAATCTAAGCAAATAGATATAAACCCCCCTCATCTGCAGTATGATTTTCAACTTTCAGTATATTTTAATATTGGGTGTTGTTAGTGATTAGAATAAAACTTATTTGTTGTATCCTGTTATAAGTTGTTAAGAGAGAGAGAGAAGGAGGGAGGGAGGGAGAAAATTGGAGATTTTTATATGGTACAGTGAATTAATCAACTCACTTATAAGTTTTAGTTGTCATTCAAGAAGCATAGTTCATAACATCCCTATAACTGTATACATATATACTTATCAGTTTATTCAGAACAATATCCGGTTCCTGTGAATTCTCATTTATTTTTTTGATATTTTACCCAAATATTCATTGTACTATTGTATTCTGTTCATTCTATATACATAATATGACAGAAACTTTGGAATATTTAGAAGTTGTTTGGTCAGTAATGATAATTCTCTATGTAGTTAGTTGAAGTTAGACTTTAACACTGTTGGATGCCGGCTTCCGCGCGAAACCAGTAGGTCCTGGGTTCGAATCTCTTAAGGGGCGAGGTCTTGGATGAGCACTGATGAGGAGTCCCACAATAGGACGAAACGGCCGTCCAGTGCTTCCAGGTTTTCCATGGTAGTCTAGCTTCAACTGACTCATGATCTTAACCATTGAGATATTTTGATTGTAATGAATGATATTTTCTTTATTATATTACGTTAGCTACTTGTTAGTAGTGTTGAAATTTCTTTGTAAAAAGTTAAATATGATGGGGTTTGCTCTATGAACTGGATTATTGATTTATATGTATACATAAATATTGGTACAAAATTGGGCACAGAATACATATACGCCACACAAGTCTCTGGATTTGTGTGTGGGCTGTGATAATGCTCGGGTACCCAGAAAAACATAGGTGGTTTTCTTAGGAGGACACACTCAAAGCCTTCGACCTAAAGGTCTAATCCATTAGGCAGTGGAGCAATGTCAGAAGAAGGAGTCCCATGGTAGCCTGTGTCCAATCATTAGTTCATACGCCAACTGTTTTCTTAGGATCCTGGAACCCATATTCACCATTGGTTTGGAATCAGGATTCTCCATCTCCACTAGATGGACTCTCCGTATCCACCAACCCGGTTAAAGCACTGGATATTCACTTTTCGTCCTCTTAATTCCGTAAACAACGATTCTGCATTCAGAAGGCAGTGAATCGGACTTCTGTGGTACTGGCTGTATACGTGTGGTCATGTGAAAGCATTTGGTGAAGGACAGCCAACTCCCCCCACACTCGACTGTACTAGGGCATTTATGGGTTTGAGCTGGGTGGTACCTGGAGGGTAACACAGAGAGAAGTTTGTGCTGGTGCTATCGTTCAGAATAATAATAAAAGCTTCACAAACAAGACGGCTACCATACCATGTTGATAGCACCGGTTCTCGTCCACAACCAAATTATCCAGTTCATAAAACAATACTCTATCAAAATCATCCACTGATGCCTAGTTATAAAACAACTATCAGTACAAAACAATCTAATAACAATAGAAATTATATATTCTATTTTAATAATTAACACCCATATGTTGAAATTGTCACTTGTAGTGAAAGGAATAAGTTCAATTTACACACATACATGTATACTAGGAGTTGGACTAGTGTTATGAGTTAGGATTATCATTCCATAGACCTTACATCATCAATCGACATTAGTTTTGATGCATTAGGATTAAAGTTAGATTTTTATATTAGGGTCAAAGTTTTCAATACAAGCTGATACTGGGTATAAAGTAATTCTTTGCTAATGAATGGTAATTGTTGAAATCCATTTCTATGCTAATACTGTAGTAAACAAGAACACAACTGGGGACAATTGAATGTATTTAACATGAAATTACAGAGCATCTCATTGTTTATGCATTTTCATACGAATTGCGTGCCGTTTCTATTCTTTCCTTCTTGATCTTCTACTGAGATACCTTGTATGCCTGACCACCATTATATACTACTTATGTGGATATAAGTAACCCACACCATAATACTATACATATATTTCTATTGTACAATTGTTAAGTAACTAAACTATTCATAATCATGTCTCTCTTATAACAAGCTTTATTTCGATCTACGAACTATTATTAAACGATTTACCATTCTTAATTTATGCCCAGTCTATTGATTACTGTCTCCCACATTCACAGCCACGTTTAGCTAGATCTTGTACAAATGTTATTATATTTTAATAGCTGAGATTATGAGTCAGTTGAAGCTAGAACACAATAGAAAGCCTGGAAGAACTGGACGGCCGTTTTGTCCTACTATGAAAATTCCTCAATATTGCGTATCCACGAATCCACCTTGCGAGATTCCAACCCAACGTTTATCAATCACGCACGCAAGCGCTTAATCTCTGGACTGCTGAGCTGGCCGACATTCAACAGTATTAATATCTAATTGACTCATGATTTCAACTATTAAAATTACTATACTATCTAAAAAAAGCCCTTCTAACAAATGATATTTTCTATTTTATGGTGTAAGGTGATCTGTTTCGTTTGTAATATAAACCCAATATATTTGAAATATATGATTCATATTGTGGAAGCGAAGATTGGTTTTCTAGACTTAACAGGAAGGAAGCAACACCGATAAATACTCTAAACAGTTTGTTATATTTCTCTCTTACGGTTATGACCCAGTTATTCCTATTGCTTAGTATTCTTGGACACTAAATCACTCAACAAGTCCCCAAAAATAGAACACAGTTGAACAGGAAAGAGATTATATTCCAAATAACAAGATTAGATGGAAGCAAGAAGCAAGTCAGTAGTTCAATAGAGAAAACGTTAGTATATTTATAGTTTTTCATATGAGGAGATTTCTAGAGTGTTCACTAAGTATTGACTAACGCTGATTGGATAAGAATCAGCCAGATGAAAGCCAAGAAGCACAATAGGGAAAACGTTAGTATTTTTATAGTATTTACATGAGAAGATTCTAGAGTATTCTCCAACTATCGACTAGTGCTGATTGGATAAGAATTAGTCAATCAGTGTGCACCAAAGCAATCGTGCATTGAGCATACTTAATCCAGTCTATGTCCCGCTAACACTGTTTGTACTTGTTTCATGCATTATTGACTCAATCGATAAGCTATTGTTCTCTAATTGACAATATCATTACATCATATATTGATAGGGAGCACAAACAAGTTATAACATTAGTAAATTAGTCAAGGTGAACAAAACAATAAAAGGTAAATCAGTAGTTCGGATTTTGTTTTCTCTTTTCACATCAACTCATAGGATACAAGTACATCTAGCTGATGAGTCTCAAATAGGACGAAACATACATCGAACTAGATTCCACTACAAGACATCATTATTCATCTTTGCTTTGAAAAAAAGAGAAGCTTGTCACTCAAGTTGATAACAAATCAATCTGTACAAGAACTTACTCGAATAATTTCAACCATTTCAGTTCGTTCTATAGTACCATTACCATCAATATCATACATTTGATAAGCCCATTCTAATTTCTCTTCTGGATCACCACCTGATGTTATATTAATAGCTAATAAAAATTCTTTAAAATCAATTCGACCAGAATTATCTTTATCGAATGTACGAAATACATGTGTACAAAATTTTTCCGCATTACCATCAGGGAAAAATCCAGAATAAACTTCAATAAATTTCTTTTTACTTAATTGACCTGATGGACAATCACGCTGTGAAAGATAAAGAAAGAAAGAAAAGTAATCAAAACAACAACAACAACAACAATGATGTGACTATACATGATATGAGTGTTGTTCAAGGTATAATGAGGTTGTCTATCACTTCTTGGTTGTTTACACTGTGGAAGAGTTCTTCTGAAGGTGTTGCATTGATTATAAGCAATTTCTAAGTTGTATCTTTTCATTTCTACAGCAATTTGAATGATTCCCTTAATCTTCTACATTGTACAAACATTCCATGTATTTAAATTAAAATGGTTGCTCTGGTTGTCAGAATGGGAATCGGACTCCTGAATTCCTAAGGAAATCGGCTTTCATCATGAGGCATCATAACTCTTCTAATTCTCAAGGCAGAGTTTCAATAGTTTGAATTATTTATTTTTCTGGTTAGCGTTTTTTTAAGCGAGTTAGTTTTCTACAGGGTGGGGTGGCCAACCACATGTCCAACCCTCTTACTTTATTGGGAACTTGGACCGATAGTAGCCACAGAGGGGCTCAAGGTGGAGTTCGTATATACACACATATATATATATATATATCATTGTTAACCCAAATCCCTATTTTTTAGTGATTATACAGGAGAACCATCTCATGGTAATCGAATTGATTCAAATTTGATCCTTAGTTCGTATACTTATCAGTAAGAATCATGAAATAACAACAGTTTTTATTGATTTTTTTTGGTAGACTAAGATAAATAACTCAAGTTGAATTGATTTGGAATATTGAGCAATTACATTCAACGTTAAGAAACGACAAAAATCCCATTAGATCTTGTTCAACTAACGAAAGAACAACTCAGAAGCGAGACTATAATTTATGGACGAACTAATCAGGCCATAAGATAACAAATCTTGGATTTTGACACGAAATTCATTCATCCATTTGGTTAAATAGCATTTTGCCCTTATAGCTGATGTAGGCTGGACAACAAAGACTAGCTTCAGAGGAGGTGCTGTTATACTCCTAAGTATATATATATATATATACTGAACCTATCGGGAATAGTAATTTCTCAGATGGACTTCCTAATACTTAGAAGCACAATGGATAAATTGTCTGACGTTTGAGTCCCAATATGAATACTAACAATGAAGTATGCCGGATCTATTCAAGTAATGAGTCTTGATAAGGACATAACATACATGGTACATTCCATTGATAATCATAATCTATCTATTATTACTGAACAAAAAGTAGTTTCAGAGTATACGAACTGAATAAAATAATTTTTGATAAAATTTATATCAGATAAGTAAATACAAATAGTTGTTTTTTCATTAGTAATCTCATTAATTATATTACTATGACATGTGCTACTGATGTCAACAGTTATAAGTAGTATATATCATCAATTGAAAGTAAAATGTCTAACGTTAGAATGTTAAGCAGATTTAAGAAAAGTGAATGAGAACAGAGAAATTATTGGCTTGGAAGTGAAAGAACAACGAAAGTCTGAGACTGGATGGTTCATAGATTTTACTAAAAGATGATCTACAGGTATTTATAAATAGTTGTCTACGCAAGATAATCAACATCCATTGGTCGGATATCAATCAACAACAGCCTTCTGTGGGAGAGAACAAACCAGCTTCCAACTGAAGAAGAAATTAGAAAAAGACGATGGAAATGGACAGGACATACATTACGCAAATCACCAAACTACATCACTAGGGAAGCGCTTACTTGGAATCCTGAAGGGAAGCGGAAAAGAGGAAGGCCAAAGAAAACATAACGTCGGGAAATAGATGCAGATATGAAAAGGATGAATAACTGGAAAGAGCTGGAAAGGATTGCTCAGGACGAGGTTGGATGGAGAATGCTGGTGGGCGGCCTTAACCCCCTCTACGAGGAGTAACAGGCGCAAATAAGTAAGTAACGTAATTTTTGGTGATGAAATATATTTGGCTGTCCTTCAATTGTGTTCTTGTTCATAATATTACCAGCATATTAGTAAATAAACAAGATTCCCCAAGAGAATACATTTATTTGTTATTTTGGTTATTATAATCGTAAACAATCTATGTATATCAGAAGGGATTTTGTGGAGATTGTAGTAATTTCTATAGTTGAGATCATGAGTCAATCGAAGCTAGACCATCATGGAAAACCTGAAAGCACTGCTAAGGAGTCCTACAATAGGACGAAATGGCCTTCCAGTGCTTTCAGGTTTTCTATGGTGATCTAGCTTCAATTGACTGATGATCTCAACTATTGAAATGTATGTATAGTTTATTAAACTGTTTATTAACTTACTTCTTATATTAGTAGTTAAGTCTTGTTTAGCATCAATAAATGATCAATAATATAATGTAAGAACTGAACTACTATGAATTGAGCTGTAAAGTTTCTATCTCAATTTTGTTGTTCAGATAAATTATATTGAGGTTAATCTAGCAAAACTCTCTTTGTAGACTATTCTAGGAATAGATGAAACACTGGAGCACATATATCCACACTTGGTATTCTCTCAAATTCTAATATTCTGAATTCGTTATGTCCCTTCTCAAATTTATTACATTGGAATATACTCCTCAAATAACATCTTCAAACCCTAATGTTTCCGATTACTGCTTATAATTTTACTATCTCTAGTACTATGAGATTTGAATGGACAATTGTATCTCTGTGCTAATATGATATGACAACTTAAACTGATATGCGTATATACGAAGTTCTACGTTGATGCTGACTAACTGACTGAGATAAATGAACAAAAAATAATACGCTGAGAGGTTCCATACTAGGACAAAACGGCCGTTCACTGCTTCCAGGTTTTGAATGGTGGTCTTGAGTGCTGTACGAGATATGAAGGTGTTTATCACTTCCCAGTTGTTTACACCGTGGAAGGGTGTTCCTGGAGGTACCTGAAAAGAAAATTGGATTAAAGATGGTCTTGGTGACTCTGGATCGTAACTGCAGTGCCTAAGAGACAATTGCTTGAGGTCAGTCACACACGCCAATTTTGTATGTAATCTTCGTGTTGGCTCCGTGATTGTTGAGACCTTACCACCGAAGACGGAAGTCCATGGGATAAGGTGAGGTGAGTATTTTTACGCTCGACATTTTTGAACTCAACCACTCCTTGTGGGGAGGCAGCATCACTTTTATTCTGGTTGTCTGAAGGAAACAGGTTACTGCCGTCAAACGTCTGTAAAGTCAGCAGTAAGACTTCGTATTCGAAATTTGGGTTTGTTACTTTTAGTCTTATCGTTCTTTAACCGACCTATCTGGCATGGTAAGACCTTGAGGAACAATTGTTCCAGCCAATATAGCTCGATTTGCTCATCACGATAGACAAGCCCGACCATCACGTCAAGGTAGCAACAAAGGTCGGTCTAGCTTAAATCGACTCATGAATTCAACTATTATATATATATTGATCTTCAACTGTCACACGATCATATCTGTTGCTATAGAGTTTTGACTTTCATAGAAGATAGAGAAACCCTCTTCATATCCTTACTTTCCCTTTATTTTTTATCTCGCTCTGTTATTCATAAGTGTTTTATATTTGATTAGAAACCCAATCTGTCTGGTTGATATACATTGTATTATATGACATAATAAGAATCTCTCAGTCGTTTGGAATTCGGAATTATTGTAGGCTAATCACTAGGTTAGTGAATGTGAACACAAGTGGGGACATAAAATCAAGCATCAATTTACAGAATCTCTTAGTAATATTTGAGAACCATACAGTGAATACTTCATTTGCAAAATGTCTATTAATCGTGTCAAACTTGACTGTTCCATTTGTAAATATCAGTCCATCGTCTCAGAATTCATTATTCCTGGTATTTCCATACCAGTTGCTATCTGTTCTTATTCTTTCCTCCTTGATCTTCTTGAGCTTCTGTTGCCAGATATTTTCATTCATGACTAGTGTTATATACTACTTATGTCGATATAAGTAGTATACACCACACTAGTAATACATACGAAAGTACTTTCATACACATAGTTGGCTAGACACTATCAGTAACAACCTGCTGTGGGAGAGAACAAACCAGAAGTGAATAGGACACACATTGAGGAAAGCATCCAACTACGTCACAAGGCAAGGCCAAAAGAGAAGAGGAAGGAGAACAAAGAACACATTACTTCGAGAAATGGAGATGGACATGCGAAAAATGAACACCAATTGGACAGAGTGGGTTGGAGAATGCTGGTCGACAGCCTATACTCCATTGAGAGTAACAGGCCTAGGTAAGTAAGTGAGTAAGTAAGTTAGTTAGTAACCATAGTAAAAATGATTACTATTAAGTAAATTACTTAAAAAAAACTCAATATTTTATTCCATATTTAATGGTTTATAAACTGTTACACATTAAACTTCCCCCCCCCTTCACCCTCAGTTTTTTTATTGTTTCTAAAAATAGTATGGTAAAAACTGAGATACTGAAACTGAATACTAATAGTATTACTACTACTAATAATAATAATAACGATTTGATTCTTTTCTATTCCACTCAATCTAATATTCTATTGCTAACTCTATATACATTAGGTATAGGGTTATATCTACTCTTTCCTACTTGTTTCATTCAATATCAATTTATGCAATTTAAGTATCCATGATGGTTTGTATATGTGTATCCATGTAGAAGTAATTATGTATGTGTGTGTGTGTCTCTGTGTGTAGATATATGTGGGGATATAAGATTTCAATCAGTAGGGTTAGGTATATTGTAATATGTAATAATAAAAAAATGCCAAATTCTTTTTTTTTTCTGTTTTTTTTTCATATAGTAACTTGTCCACCGGAAATGGTTGTTACTACTCTCACTATATACATATATATGTAAATATATAGTAAGATTTAATTACTTACTACTTAGATAAAGTACATAAAGTAGTATATCCAAGTGACATAAATATTTAAAAAAAATAAACAACATTAATGCATGAAATATATTGTATCTCAGCAGCAACAACAACAACAACAACAACAACAACAACAAGAACAACAAGAAAAATCGATAAAACGTATAAAATTTAGGGGAAATTTTGTATTCTATCCTACTCAGTAACTAATCTACTCAATTAGTTATTCATTATAATAATAAAAAAAATTCCACTTAAGTTGTTTTTTTATATTTTTTTTAAATGAATAATAATCAATAATTAGATAGATAAATGAATAAGGAAATGATTCAATGAACAGATTTGTTCATTGATTGATAGAAGATTGTTCATATGTAAAGGGACTAACTATCTTGTTGTTGTTGTTGTGGTGGTGGTGGTGGTTGTTGTTGTGGTGGTGGTGGTGGTTGTTGTTGTTCATGAAATCAACCATAAAATGTCATATGATTTGAAGTATTTATGATTATTATCTTTTTTTGTTTTGTTTTACCGACTAAGTTGACTGTTGTTAAGGGATATTGTTTTATGATTGAAATCAAAAAGAAAAAAGAAAAAAAAATGGTAATATAATTGTGTCACCTGACAACATACGCCCTTCATTGGAGGTGAGGGAATGAGTTGGGGTAAAGAAGAAGTAAACAGTTATTTTTCTAATGGTATATAATTAAATAATGTCTATGGTTAAATTTATTTGGTGTTGTTTTACTTATGTTTCTCATTGTTATTTAGGATTTGGTATATATGCATCTTATTAGCTTTATGGTTATATGGCTATATAGAGCTGAAGGTCTCATATGAGGCTGAAGGTTCTCCATTGTTATTATGGACGGTTCGGCATTGCTTTGGCAAGTTTTGCTGACTGTTCATACAAAAATTGGTTTGCTGGTTAACCGATTTCATTCATACTGGTGGTTGTTTTTCAGTGTTCCCGAGGGCCATTGTCATTGGGACATTGTAAGGGATGCCGCCATTCCTAATATTAACGAGTTTGACTGTCGTGTAAGCGGAATAGGTCAACTTTGGCCTGTTCGTACTGTGCATAATTGATTCACGCGATCATTGATTGGAATAACTATACATGTGATGTGAGTGTGTATATGAATGGTGCAAATGGTCCACCAGGGTGCTTGGTACCTGTAGGGTTGCGCCACAGGATTGAGCTGTACTATTCAGATTGTAGCGTTAAAGCCTGTACGGTGTATGGTTCCTCTGCTAAACGGGGTTGAGCTGTACTGTTTGAGTTTTTACGTGAAACTCCGGATGGTGTCTGGTTCTACTGAAAACCAATGTAAAATTACCCTGGCCCACAAGGGTATATTATATAACTATGAACAAACTGGTTGATCCTGCCAGTAGTCATATGCTTGTCTCAGAGATTAAACCATGCATGTCCAAGTACATACCTTAAAACGGTGAAACCGCGAATGGCTCATTAAATCAGCTATGGTTCCTTAGATCGTAAATACTACATGGATAACTGTAGTAATTCTATAGCTAATACATGCCTTGAATATATACATCTTGTGCAGATTGTTTCGATATAGCCTTAAGTCACAAGGTTTTTAAAGCAAAGATGGATAGTGACTAGTAGTGAAATCCAGGACACGCGTTTCGTCATATTTGAGACTAGTCAACTGGATGTACCTATACCATAGAGTTGATGTTCACTATGAAACTTGAACCCAGTACTGTCTGTGTTTATTATTAGTCAATTACGGAATAGGGATGCATTACTGTTGTTAAAAGATTGATGTAAAACACAGAAAAGAACACACATACATTGTTTCCTAGTATCTAATCTCCTAGAATGAATGAATAGGTTGACATTATGTTCTATTTTAACAAGTTGAATAGTCATTAGAAATGAAATCCAGAAATTAATTAGGTTTTGTCAGTTAAATGTATTTGTCTCTTTAAAAATTAAAAGAACTTGACAACCTACTTGAATATCTAGGCTATATATTCCTACCATCTAGATCTTTCAATCAGTTTACTGTTTCCTTATTTGTTTTAATAGATCATTATGTCAATCAATCGTATAACCTATTGTGGTTTGTTTCTAAAATGTATACAACTTTTCATTGTTGAAATTATACTAGTGCCCAATCACAGATATTGTGATTACTAGTAATATACAACGAAAAGAATGTACATTATTTAGATATTGATTGACTGAACCGCTAACGTCTAGACTAATAATCAATCAATATTTATCATTAGGACCAATCAAGAGGTACAAAATGAAAACTCTCTGAAGTATTATATATTGACTCATGATTTCAACTGTTGAAATTACTACAAACTCTATAAAACCCCTCCTGATACTAATCAACATATGCTCACCGGTGATTGGCTTCAAGAGATACATCCTGGAGTTCTAGTGAGAAGCAGTGACCAGTGGAGTTCAACCGGGTCAGTTGTGAGGTAGTAACTCATTAAAGACAATGGTGGATGTGTCGTTCAATTTCGTGGATCAGTTGAAGCTAGACATTAATACCGTTGGATGCCGGCTCAGTGGTCTAGTTGGTTAAGCGCTTGGCGCGAGACTGATAGCTCCTGGGCTCGAATCCTGCGGGGCGAGGTCGTGGATGGGCACAATTGAGGGGTCCCACAATAGGACAAAACGGTCATCCAGTGCTTCCATGTTTTCCATGGTGGTCTACCTTTAATTGACTCATGATCTTAACTGTTGAAATTACTACAATCTCCACAAAACCCCTCCTGATGCTTGTAAGGAAAGCCTATAGGTGAACTTGAGTAAGCTCTAAGAAGCTCAGAAATAGCCAAAAATACTTCATCCAAACGTCTTTTAAAAGAATATTCCCTATTGAACAAATGTTAATAATGGATTAGAGGACTATAATAATGATTCGGTTCTTCTTGTTCTATACTCAAGAGAAGGATCCTGACTTTCAATTGCTCAACTTTTATCAAATAATCTAAGCTCGAAATATAATAATGCCAAACATATATTACTGAATTAAGGCCCCCAAATACCCTGGTACGGCCAAGAGTCAGGTGGGCACGCCCCTCTTCTCGAAATGCTCTCACACGGCCACGCGTATATAGCCTCTGCCAGGGAAGTCCTACTCATTGCCTTCTCGTGGCGAGGATGTTGTTCACGAAATTGTGAGGACGAAAAGCGAATGTCCGGCTCATTAACCGGATCCCAAACCAATGGTGCATATGGGTTTCAGTATCCTGAAGGAACAAATGGCGTATGAACTAATCGTTGGTCACCGGTTACCATGGGAGTACATTTCCTCACGATGCTCCACTGCCTTGTTGGTTAGACCATTAGGTCAAAGGCTTAGGGTGTGGTCCCCTAAGAAAACCACCTGCTTCGGTTTAAGCACCTGATCAGTATCACAGCCCACACACACATATGATGAACTGAATAAAGCCATTCATAAACATAATAATAATAATAGTAGTATATAAACACTTACTATAAATCCATTATACCATTGTTTAATTTGTCGTTTAGTAAAATGTGTATTCTCTTTAAGAAATGTTAAATCTTCTCTTGATAACTTTTTTCTTGGTCCAACAAAATTTCCCATAATTTTGATTTAATAAAACAATCTATTCAAATAAAAGAAAAAAAGAAAAAGAAAAAGAAGAAAAAGATCATTGAAATGATACATTTCATTTATATAAACAAAAGAAATAAGCGGTAAGATTATTGTTTATGAATGAACCAATTAGATTTAAGATAATATGTCTTGAATTTTGAGCGCGAAATTCATTTAGTTAAATAATGATTGACACTATAATATATGGATAACCTTTGAGCGATGATAAAATAACCTTCAGGGTGTTTATCTAATAACTAGGATCAAATAAAGATAATGGCAGTGAATCATGGCCGGTAAGAGTAGAGGATATTCGTAGGTTACTAGTATTTGATCATAGATGTCTTCGAAGCATTGTTCGTATATCTTGGGACCACCGAATAAGTAATACAGTTGTTTGGAATCGGGTACTAGGGAAGGATGGCAAATCCATTGATGAAGTAGTGAAACTTGATCAGTTGAGATGATTGGGACACGTGTTACGTATGCCCAACCACCGACTGCACCGATGTGCGATGTTCAATGGTATAGGAATTAAATTGGAAGAAAGCTAGAGGCAGCCAGAACAAAACATGGCACAAATTTATGAAGTCATTGACAAGTGGATTGAACCATGTCGGTAGGTGTAGACTACCTGGTTGGGGACCGCGAGATGATAGCAACCGATGGTTAGAGACCTTAAATGACATGGCTCAAAATCGTTTTCAGTGGCACAGGTGCATACACTCTTTATGTTCTCCCAAATTCTAATCTTCTGTATTCTTTATGTCCCTTTTCTTTTCCTCTTCCCAAATTTATTTCACTGGATTATACTCTTTAAATAACATCTCCAAACCCTAATCTTCCCGATTACTGCTTATACTCTTACTATCTCTACTACTATGGGATTTGAATCGACAGTTGTATCTCTGTGCTAATGTGGTTATGGCAACTCGAATTGATGTACGTACGTACAAAGTTCTAAGTTGTTAAGGACTGACTGACTGTATATTTGATGGTTAAGGTTAGGAATTACATTCAGGGTTTTCATCATAAACTGAGATTATCTTAAATGTCAAGACGCTATTTAGCCAAACTAATGAATGAATACTAAGCCAAAATCCGAGACCTGTTATCTTATACGTAATTGGTTCGTCCAATAAATTATAGTCTTGCCATTGTCACTGTAGCTAATATCAGTTCGTGATGAGTCTAATTCTTAACCATTAACCGTTAGTTTATAACCCTCATTTAATCCTAATAAGTAGATGGACATTCTCAAGGTCATTCTAGCGTCACTCGAACGTCCTCCATAAATTGTAGTTTCATCGGGATATTGGACATTTACATTGTTTCAGTATGAAATTCAAGAGTGATAAATACACACATACACAAACAAACACACATAATACACAGGTCAAATCACTGTAAATATCATTCATAAATTAAATCCATCTCCGTTATCATCTTTCGAGAAAAAAACTATATTCGTGTATTCAATAGGAGCTTCTCAGGTTTTAATGGGGGATTATAAATGGTACAGTTTAGTTGTGCGAGAAGTGAAATAGCCATCATCAGTAAAACTGGATAAAGGATGAGTTAGATTGTAAATCATTTGAATTTTAGGAGCTCTCAAGTGCCTTGGTACGGCTGAGATTAGGAAGAGTAAGGTCTCCCTTGAGAAATGCTCTCAAATGCCCACGTGCATACAGTCACTACCAAGGGAGTCCTGCTCACTGCATTAGTGTTGATTACGAAATTGAGGAGACAAAAAGCGAATGTCCGGCGCTTTAACCGGGTTGGTGGATATGGAGGTTCCGCCTAGAAGAGTTGCAAAACCCTCAATCCAAACCAATGGTACACAACGGCTCCACGATCCTGATGGGACAAAAGGAGTATGAATCTATTGTTGGTCACCGAATACCATGTGGATGTATCTCCTTATGTTGCTCTACTGCCTTGTAAATTAGACGTTTAGGTCGAAGGCTTCGAGTGTGACTCCCTAAGAAAACCAGTTACTTTGGTTTGAGCACTCGGTCAGTATCCCACCCTCACAAAAAATCGAATGATTTATGTGGCACATATCTATTTAGTACCTTCTTTTAGTAATGTTTCTGTGTTTGAATAAATAAACAAATAAATAGAAGCGCATACTATTGAATTTCAGCTTTATAGCTTAGATTTTAAAAAGTCATTACGTGATATGAACATTCTAGGTTCGACCAATGATTAAGTTTTGAATGTGTACTGATGAGGACTTTTACATTGAGGTCAAACCTGTCTACACTGCTTTCTGGTTTTAAATGGGTCTTTAGATTCATTTCATCCTTGGTGAATACAAAATCTAATATAAATGAATCTTTACTTAATTCCACCTATCAATATAAGTAATCCTTGATATCTGTATTTCAATCAACTTCTAGATTTATTTACTTGGATTATTTTTCCTGGTTAGCGTTTTTTGTAGTGAGTTAGTTTTCTATGAGATGGGTTTGCTAACTCCATATGCCTAACAGTTCTCTTTCATCCAGGCTTGAGATCGACAGTATCCTCAGACGGTTTCCATGCAGAGTTTTACAGATTAATAAATGCACTCATATTTTGTGTTAAAAGATACTGAATATTAAATTAGTAATGTGATGTGTGCTACTGATATTGACAGATATAAGTAGTAGTCGAATGTGAAATACCTGGAGGCAGAAAGTTAAGAAAATCAAAGAAAAGAGAACGACAATAGAGAGTGGTTGATGTGGAAACTAAACAACAATGAAGTATAAGACAATTGAATGACATTACTAGATGGTTCTCATATTTTACTAAGAGATTCTGTAATTTTGTCCCCCCCCCCTCATTTGTGTTCTCATTCACTACAATAGTAAGGCTTTTGGATAAATATTCATCACAAAACTAGAATTCTCTAGGTTCAGTCCTTAGGCAGGGTTTTACTTATGTGTACTTCTGTGGAGACCTATACTAGAGGAAAACACCTAATCTCAATGCTTGATGGTTTTGGATGGCCTCTCAACTGAAATCAATCTATAACAAACATAATTTACAGATTAAATTAATCGATACAGAAACTACTTAATAAAAGATTTCAGTAGACATAATAATCACAAGGCAATACTTGCCTTTATTAAGATTTTGGCTACCATTTCCTTGAATTAAATAAATACTGTTCCAATATTTGTTGGTGGAGAGGTGGAGAAGTATGGGGGTGGGGTGGAAATGACAACTAAATTAACCATAAAGTACCATAAAATAACAATCTATCATTGTCTAATTCATTTCCTTTTAAACATTGATATCATTTATACATAATATACTATGAGTTATTTCTTATATCTCTTAGGTATTCTATTCTATATAATTAAGGTTATAACATTGAATAACATAACTTCGCCTGTAGCTCTTTTAGAGTTACTGCCGTTTCCAAACCCCGGGTAAGAGAGGAGGAGGGTTAGGCCTGGTGTTAGCGTCCTCATCCTGTAGGAAACTAACTCGCTAAAACAAATGCTAACCAGAAAAAAATAATTCTGTCAACTTTGACTAACATAGAAATCATTAGCAATAATAGTTATTGTTCTAGAAATTAGACCGGAAATATAAATTACAATTGATTCACATTATTATGTAATATGAAATTACATTGATTAATTGTATATATATATATATTGTTGTTGTTGTTTTATTGATATGTTAATGATTTAGAAAAAGCTTTTGTCTGAGAATCTCGCTCGCAGGATTCGAACCCAGGGTGTTCAGTCTCCAGTGTAGATAGGAGGACATTATGGAAACTTCTTCGACACTACGGAGTTCCTGAGAAGATTATCAACATTATCCGGAAGTAATAAGACGGACTACACTGCAAGGTCGTGCATGAAGGACAGCTGATAGATGCATTCCAAGTAAGGACAGGAGTCAGACAAGGCTGTCTACTCTCTCCCTTGGTCTTTCTTCTGGTGGTCGACTGGATTATGAAAACTTTGACATCTGAGGGAAAACACAGCATACAATGGACAGCTCAGAACCAATTAGACGATTTGGACTTCGCAGATGACTCAGCCTTCTTATTCCATACACACGAACAGATGCGCATGAAGACAACTCGTGTAGCAGCAGTCTCTGCATCAGTAGGCCTCAACATACACAAAGGGAAAACCAAGGTCCTCAATTTCAACACAGAGAACACAAACCCAAAAAAACTTGATGGCAAAACTCTGGAAGATGTAGAATCCTTCACATACCTGGGAAGCATCATCGATGAACAAGGAGGTTCAGATGCAGACGTAAAGGCGGGGATTGTCAAAGCAAAGGTCGCATTCCTACAATTGTAGAACATATGGAACTCAAAACAACTTTCAACCAATATCAAAGTCAGCATCTTGAATACGAACATTAAGACAGTTCTCCTGTATGTAGCTGAAACTTGGAGAACTACAACAACCACCATCAAGAAAGTACAAGTATTTATAAATACTTGTCTGAGCAAGATAATCAACATCCATTGGTCGGATACCATCAGCAACAGCCATCTGTGGGAGAGAACAAACTAGCTTCCAGCTGGAGAATAAATTAGGAAAAGACGATGGAAATGGACAGGACATACATTACGCAAATCATCGAACTGCATCACGAAGCAAGCCCTAATTTGGAATCCTGAAGGGAAGCGGAAAAGAGGAAGGCCAAAGAACACATTACGTCGAGAAATAGAGGCAGATATGAAAAGTGTGAATAGGAACTGGAAAGAGCTGGAAAGGATTGTTCAGGACAGGGTTGAATGGAAAATGCTGGTTAGCGGCTTTTACTCCTTCACGAAGAGTAACAGGCGTAATTAAGTAAGTTAGTGTTTGGTCTCATATACGAACGCTTAATCTTTAGACCATTGAGTTGATATATAACGGTGTTAATGTCTATCCTCAACTAATCCACGAAATTGCTTGAACATCTTTTACATTATACTAAGATAGATACCTGTCTCTACCTGATATGGATTAACTTTACTGGTTATGATTTCTCACTAGAATTCTG